AAACTCGAAAAAGAAGAACAAAGCTGGAAGACTCACACTTCCTGATTTCAAAACTTTCTGCAAAGCTAGGGTAATTGAGACAGTGTGGTACTGCCATAAGGAAAGATACATAGATCAATGGAAGGGAATTGGGAGTCCAGAAAGAAACACTCACGTTGGGGCGCCTGGGTAGCTCAGTCGTTAAGTGTCTGCCTTTGGCTCAGGTCATGATCCCAGGGTCCTGGGATCGAGCCCTGCCCTGGGCTCCCTGCTCCACAGGAAGCCTGCTTCTCCCTCTCCCGCTCCCCCTGCTTGTGTTTTCCCTCTCTCACTGTCTCTCTCTCTGTCAAATAAATAAATAAAATCTTAAAAAAAAAAAAAAAGAAAGAAACACTCATGTCTATAGTCAGTTGGTTTTCAGTAAGAGGGCCAAAACAAATCAATAGGGAAAGAGTTGTCTTCAACAAATGGTACTGAACAGCTGGAAATCCACATGAATGAAGCTGGACTCCTACCTCATACCATATACAAAAGCTAAGTGAAAATGGCTCCTAGACCTAGATGTAAGAGATAAACCATAAACCATTTACTCCTGTGTTGTAGAAGAAAACGTAGGAGTAAATCGTCGTGACCTTGGTCAGGCAGGGGTTTCTTAGATATGCCACCAAAAGCATAAGCAACACCACACCAAAAAAGGTGACAAAATAAAGAGAGGCATACGCTGTACTTCAGCAAAATTTAAAACTTTGCATATCAAAGGGCACCGTCAATAAAGTGAAAAGACAATTCAGAATGATAGAAAACATTTACAAGGGACGACTGGGTGGCTCAGTCGGTTGGGAGACTGCCTTCAGCTCGGGTCATGATCCTGGAGGCCCCGGGATCGAGTCCCGCATCGGGCTCCCTGCTCGGCGGGGAGTCTGCTTCTCCCTCTGACCCTCCTCCCTCTCATGCTCTCTGTCTCTCAGTCTCTCATTCTCTCTCTCACAAATAAATAAAATCTTAAAAATAAAATAAAATGAAATAAAGTCTTAAAAAAATTTACAAATCACACACATGGCATCATATATCCAGAATATATAAATAACTTTTTTTAAGATTTATTTATTTTAGAGAGAGATAAAGTGTGCGCACGTGCGTGTTTGAGCAGGTGGAGGGCAGAGGGAGAGAGAGAATCCTCGAGCAGACTCCCCACTGAGCATGGAGCCCCACTCGGGACTCAATCCCAGGACCCTGAGATCATGACCTGAGCCAAAACCAAGAGCCAGCCATTCAACCGACTAAGCCACCCAGCTGCCCATATATAAAGAACTCTTACAACTCAACAATAGAATGACAACCCAATTACAACTAGGAAAATAATCTGAACAGATATTTTTTCAAAGAAAAGACACAAATGGCTGGTAGGCACACGAAAAGATGCTCAACACAATTAATCACCAGGGAAATGCAAATCAAAACCACAATAAGGTACACTTCATACCCACGAGGGTGGCTAGAATCAAAGAGGTAGAAACTAAGAAGCACGGGTGAGGAGGTAGAGAAATTGGACCCCTCACCCACCGCTGGTGGGAACGCAAAATGGTGCAGCTACTTTGGGAAACAGCCTGGCAGGTCCTCAAACCTGAAACACAGAGTGATCGTGTGATCCAGCAATTCCACCATGAGGTATATGCCCAAGAGAAATGAAAACACACGTCCAGAGGAAAATGTGTGCCCCACTGTTCATAGGGGCCAAGACTCCTAACAGCATACAGGCGGAAACAGCCAAATGTTCACCAACTGATAAACAAAAGTAGTCTATCCATTCCGTGGAATAGCATTTGGCAATGATAAGAGTCAAGTACTGATACATGGGACAGCATGGATAAACCTTGAAGACATCATGGTAAGTGCAAAAGTGGGGCTCAAGGAGGAGCAGGAAGAAGAATGATAGCTAATGGTGAAGGGTTTTTTGGGAGGCTGTTGAAAATGTCCTAAAATTGATTTTAATAGTTGCAGAACTCTGTGAATATACTAAAATCCCTGAACTGTATACTTTTTAAATTTTTTTAAATAGGCTCCATGCCCAACGTGGGGCTTGAACTCATGACCCTGAGATCAAGAGTCGCCCACTCTACAGACTGAGTCAGCCAGGCGTCCCTGAACCATACCCTTTAAATGGATGAATATTCTGGTATACACAGAAATATATGTATGAATATATTTCAACAAAGCTGTAAAAAAATAGCATCCTTATTTTAGATAAAATTGGGGGAAGTTCAACACAAAATTATTGGATGGCTATTTGGGAGTTGTTAATTTTGTCAGGAGTGGGGGCACTGGGTGGCTCAGTTGGTTAAGTGTCTGCCTTGGGCCCAGTTCATGATCTCAGAGTCCTGGGATTGAGCCCCTCCTTGGTCTCCCTGCTCAGCGGGGAGCCTACTTCTCCCTCTCCCTTTGCCACTTCCCCTGCTTATGCTCTTTCACTCGCTCTCTCTCAAATAAAATCAATCAATCAATCAATCAAACTGGTTCTGGGCAGGGCCTGCGAGCCTGCAATTCTGGGAGAGCTCCGCAGGTGGGGCTGGTGCTTCAGCAGGCTCGGAAAGCCCTGGGTCGGAGCCTCCCAAGGGGTCTTCGGGGACAAGTACATACTGTGAGCAAGGGGAGCCCAGTTTTCCTTGCTCAGGAGTTCTCAATAGGGGCGAGTTGGCCCCCAACAAGCCATTTGGCTAAGTCTGCAGACAGTTTTGGTTGTCACCACTAGGGGTCGCTCCTGGCACCTGAACGGTGGAGGCCAGGGAGGCTGCTCCACATCCCCCAGGGCACAACACAGTCGTCACCACCGAGAATTATCGGTGAGGGTGAGGGACGCTGCAATCTCAGCGTCTAGTAAGGACTTGTGGCAGTGCCCGAGCCCCAGATCTGGCGGTGTGCTAACCATGCCTGTGGAGCCCCGCAAACCTTTCAAGAGCCCCCTTGTTGTCAGCCCTCATTTTCTGGGCACCATTCACCCCGTCTGGGGTGGGTGCTAGGGCTGGCAGGCTAGTCTTTCCCCACTTTGGGCCCTCACACCTTGACAGGTGTTTGTAAAGGACGGCAGAGGACACTAACCCAGCCAGCCCCAGAGGAAGGGGGGGTCAGCGGCAGGTGAGGTGACCTGGACATCGACATGACATTTGGTCTGCCAGCCTGACCAGCTGGTTGGTGCAGACACTTAGCTAAGCAGCTTGCACCATTCCAGAGCCAGCTACCATGGCAACCCACTCGAAGAGGAGGGGCTGGGAGACGGTCATTGTGGTAACTCCCAGCAACATCAGCCAGGCCTGGAGTTGGTGGGGCGGGGGGCACATTCTCTAATCCTAGGTGTGCAAACAGTCCTCTGAGGGCTGCACACCCATGTCCGAGCCTGTCTGCTGGCCTCCTTCACGAGCCGGCTGGGTCACTCTGTGTACTGTGCATTCCAGAAGCCTCCACCCATCAAGGGAGGCAGGGGCGGGGCAGGGGGGGGCGGAGGCTGCTCGGACACTGTGTCCACGTTTCTAGCCTCCAAGGCCTCCGTAACCTGAACTGGGCCACCCATGCAGCCTTTTTTGTCTCTAGCAACAATTCCTGTCTTCAAGTCTGTCTTGTGTGATATGAGCCGCGTGGCCACTCTAGCTCTCTGCTGATTGCGGCGTGCATGGTTTATCTTTTTTTCTATCCTTTTGCTTTCAACCGATTGGTCTTTGAATCTAGAATGTGTCTCTTGTCGAGGGTATAGTGAGATCATGCCTTTTTTTCTTTTAATCCATTCTGCCAATCTCTGCTGTGTGTGTGGTAACACGAAAAATTCAGTGGCATTCGGTACATTCACAAGGTTGGCAACTGCCACCATCTAGTTTCCGAACATTCTCAACACTCCGAAGAGAAACCCCATACCCATCAGTAGTCACTCCCACTGCCCCCACCTCCTAGCCCCTGGCAAATGCCAATCTACTTCCTTTCGCTACTGATTTGCCTGTTCCCAATGTTTCATAGAAACAGAAGCATGCGGTATGTGGCCCTGTGTGTCTGGCTTCTTCACTGAGCACCTGATTTAACGTTGGTCCGTGTTGCCTCGCCTCTCAGCCCACCTTGGCCAGACCGCACCCTCTCCCTGTCCCTCAGGGCTCCCCGGTGCCTGACTTTGCTGAGGTCTCAGTTATCGCAGTTTCCCTGCTCAGTTCAAGCCTCTGGGTAATACTAACAGTGGCCACAGATTGGATGCCCAGGATACCTGGAGCTCTGTGCTGAGCACTTTCCACACATTATCTTGTTTAGTATTAATCTCTAGGCAATCCTGGGAGGGGGAAACCATGATCATCGCCCGACCATTCCAGTGGGTAAGTGACAGCACGCTCAGCACTCTACATTCCTACGCCTTTCACTGACTTTCTTGGCCCAGGTTTGCACCAGCTCCCCATTTCCTGACACTGTGTGACCCTGAGTGGGTTAACCTCTCAGTCCTTCAATTTCTCACCTGTAAGCTGGGGGATCGTAATCACACCTGTCTCACGGAGGTGCTATGAAGATCAAAGGAGCTAACAGACATAAGCCTCTGGCTCACCTGGAGCATAGTGAGCGCTCCTTCTAGCGGTTTCTCTTGGGAGGGAGCCAAACAGAGCCTCAAGGGTGAAGGGGACAGTGAGGAGATGAGGGAACCAGGGAATGGCGGGCTTTGGTCTGTGTTTCCAAACTCTCTTCATCACTGCAAAAGGAGACCTCCTTTTGGGAGGCTATCCTTCCCTACCCCCCTCCTCTTCCCCCAGCCCCTGGCAACCACCAGTCTGCTTTCTGTCTTTATGGATTTGCCTGTTTCATACAAATGGAATCATACCATATGTGGCCTTTTGTGTCTGGCTTCTTTCCTCAACACTTGGCTCTGCCTTACTCCAAAGCCCCATTCCTGCCCCTGTGTTTGGGGAGAGCCCATCACAAGGGGCATAAGGGAACAGGGGGTAAAATGCCTGGGAGGAGAACAAGAAGGGCAGGAAGCTTTGGGAGGCCAGGTGGTTTACCTTTGCCGTGGCTTCTTCGTTGCCCTCCACCATCTTCCGGAGCTTTATTAGGTGCCACAGGTCCTGGGCAGGCTGGCGCCTGCCCTGGCTGCCCTCCAGCAGCTGGGAAGTGGAGGGCAGGTCCTGCAGCATGGCCATCTGGCTCTCCATCTTGTCAATGCGGCTCACCACGTGGTCAAAGACATTGCTGAGCCTCTTCATGGGGCTGAGGACGGGCTGGGCGTCTGCTTCCCGGGGCATGAACACAACTGGTGAGGTCTGGAGAAAGTCCTCGTCTCCTGAGAGGACCTTCTTGAGCTCAGCCATGTGGATGTGCTCCAGGATGCCCTGAAGCAGGAGGTGCAGGGCCTTGAAGTTCACCACCCCGCACTGCGGGATGGCGATGTTGACCAGCTCGGAGAATGTGAGTGAGAAGCTCATCCCGCAAGTAGGCTCGGCGTGGCTGGGCTTCTGGGCGTCCTCGGGGACAAGTGGTGGCTTTCAGGGAACCCACAAGCTGTGTGGACAGGTCCTCAGAGGTCCAGGGAGGCAGCAGGTCATGGGAGAAAATGGCCTCTGTCCAGGTGGGAGTTCAGATGAGAGCTTCTGGTTGCTAGGACACCAGAGAACGTGGGCGAGTGGGCGTGATTCCGAGAGCCCAGAGTGGGGCAAGGGTGGGTGCTCAATTAGAAGGTGCTGGGTGTTTGAACAGATGGACGGTCAGCCTTTCAGTTCAAGCCCTTCAGTTATGGAAGACCGATGACCCCTTCCAAGAAGCATGCAGCGAAGGTGATGGGGAAGCAGCTCGCTTCTTGGAAGCCTCTAGAATCAGGACAGAAGAGAGTTCCTGGAGTTAGGAAAGCCTGGTTTTGAGAAAAGAGGATGTAGAGAAAAGAGACCGGCTTCGTGCTTCAAATGCCCTGCAGGTGTTAGGGTTTCTGGCGGGGGTGGGGCTGGTGGTAAAAAAGGGTAAGAGGCAGCTGGCTTCCCACAGGTCTGAACCCCGCGTGGCCCTGCCCACCCAGGGGCACCAACGAGGACGCCCGTGCCAAACCCTGCTCTGCTTCCCCCTAGAGCCAGGGCTCGCTAACACCTCAGTGCCCCGAGGACATATCTGTGAGCCAGCTGCCACAGGACCTGGAAACCGCATGGGGCCCTATGTGGTCAGGCCCCGCTTGTGTCAATTCTTAGACAAGAAAATGGCAGCCTGCTCGTCCTGGTCTCCGACAGAAGTCTACAGGGAAGGTCCTTGGCTTAACCCCTGGAGCCCCAACTCCTGGCCCACCCCCACCGTTCTGGGCATGATACACACTGCTTATATATAGCGCATGGCAGGAGTCCTGCTTGGGGGTGTCGTTGGCTAAGGGGCAATCTCCCCCAGCTTCCCCATAGAAAGTGGAGCACCCGTCCACTCTGGGTTTATGGAAACGGGTGCGTGACTCTTTATCAACAGCTGTGTGACCTTGTGCAAATGACTTAACCTCTCTGAGTCTCAGCTTCCCTGCCTGCTAAATTGGAAATAAAACCTTCCATGTGAGGTTGCCGCTGGGAGGGGCAATGTGTGTGTGTGTGTGTGTGTGTGTGTGTACATAGAAATAATACATGTGAAGGGCCAGGCCACTATGACTCAAAATAATTCCTTTTCCCCAGAACTGACCTGATATCCCACTCCTGCCAGTGATCGTGGCCATTGGAGAAAGAGCCCAGGAGGCTCGTTATGAATTCAATAGAAGTGTATTTTCAGGGATGTTGTTTGCTAATTACATGTTCTTTTTTTTTAAGACTTTATTTATTTACTTGACAGAGAGAGACACAGTGAGAGAGGGAACACAAGCAGGGGGAGTGGGAGAGGGAGAAGCAGGCTTCCTGCTGAGCAGGGAGCCTGATGCAGGGCTCGATCCTACACACGAAGACCCACTCCTCCCCCATTCAGTCTGGGTCCCACTTGGATACTCCTTTTTTTGTTGTTGTTTTTGGTAACAGCTTTATTGAGATATAATTCCCATACCATACAATCCACCCATTTAAAGTATACAATCCAGTAACTTGTAGTATGTCACAGAGTTGTGCAACCCTCACTGCAATCAACGTCAGCCCATCACCCTAACCAGAAACGCCATACCCATTAGCACACGCTCCCCGTTTCCCCACCCTCCAGTGCCTGGCATTCATTAACCTACATTCTGTCTGCAGATTTGCCTATTCTGGACATTTTGTATAAATGAAATCATATCATGTGTGGCCTTTTGTAACTGGTTTCTTTCTCTTTCACCCACCCAAGCATCATGGTTTCAAGGTTCATCCACATTGTGGCAGGTGTCAATACTTTGTAGTACATTGTAGCAGGTGTCATTCCTTTTTACAGTTAAATCATATTCCACCTTATGGATGGACCAGTTTTTAATCTGTCCATCCTCGGATGGATATTTGGGCCAATTCTACCTCTTCACTATTGTGGATAATGCTGCTATGAATGGTAGTGTACAAGTCTTCAGTTAGTTGGTGTTGACGGCTAGGGGCCAGCTGAACTGCTGGGTCATACGGTGAGTCTGTGTTAACACTTTGAGGAACTGCCAGACTGTTCCACAGCAGCTACAGTATTTTACCTTCCCACCCCCAGCTGTGGGGGTTCCGACTTCTCTCCATCGACATCAACACTTGTGATTGCCTGTCTTTGTCATTACAGTTGTGGTGGATATTGGATTCTCCTTGCTATGTAGCTATCAGACATCAGGCTTATAGCCCCCTGTCATACACTCATTTATCCTGGGCATTCAGGATGGTTGTTTGAGATTTTCAGATGTTTAAAATGACCACCCTTCCAGTGAGTCACGTTTCCCTGAAAAGAACACCCAGAAACCTTGGAAAAGATGCAAGCAGGCTACCCGGGGCAGCACCCAGAGGGACGGCCACTCCCTCTCTCCACCAGCTGTGGTACCCACGCAGGGGTAACTTGGATGGATGACCTTTCCCATCCCAAACTTGTCTCTGACCCTAGCAGATGTCATAAACGACACATTTGCTGCCATCCCAGCGAACCAGGTGGAATGTACCTTCACGAGTGGATCATGAAGCCCTGAATTTCTTGTTGTCAACCCAGGGGGAGTTGATGCTCAGACAAACATTCTTGCTGCACCTATGTAAATGCTACGTAAATGCGATGGGTCAAGTAGAACAGTTTGTGACTAGGCTTTAAAAAGGAAAAGCCACCTGGCTCTCTAAGGAAAGCCAGCTGGACTCTGAGGCAGGTTTTCACAGCCTGGGTTTGGCAATCGAGGCCGCAGTCTTCAGGATCTGGTACCAGAGCCAGGAGCCAGGTTTGTTTCTGATAATGTGGCAGGCGGCTGATGCATTCTGTGCATCTTCAGTGCAGCAACGGTCGGGTGACTAGTGAGAGGCCGGACCAACTCACTCTGCAGGACGGCGGGAGGGAGGGTGTAACCGGAGCCCAGCTGCGGTGACGTTCTCTGAACCAGCTCCTGACCAGCAACAGTTGGCCACGGCAAAGCTCTGGATCCTGGAGACCAAGCTTCTGAGGACCGACTGTGGATGCCCCTGGCTACACGGGGTGTGGAGGGAGAGAAAAGGAGCCCCTGAATGGGGAACTGGCCTGGAGCTATGGGCCCTGAGGCTGCTGGGAGGGCCTTGGTATGCTTCTGTGGACACCAACAACCTCACGGAACGCCAGCCCCCGACGGGGCGGCTCTGCCCCCATGATGGGCCGACACAAAACAAGACCAGCTGCAATCATGTCTGAACTCAAATAAAAACAAGAACATTGTCCAGACCAACAAACACGACCAGACAGCCCCCTATCCTGGCTAATATGAGTGACCTTGGCTTCTTGACCTGTAGAGCATTAGCACTCCTTCATTCCTCTTGCCTTCTAGATAAGACTGCTTGAGAGACCTGATCACAGAATTACCTCTGCTTCCCAACTGCGCCAATCCGAAACACTCCCCCATTACCTAACATGGACCCCAATTCTGTAAGCCTGTCTAACTTAACCCCCCCCAACATGCCTGTGGGTTCCTCAATTCAAGTGCCGCCCTGACATCTTTGAGCCTCCGAGGGCTCCTGAGTCCCCTGTACTCGTCAGATGTGCCCCTCCCGCCCCCCCCATGGCTGCCACCATTGTTGGAAAAAGCTCCCCACCCAGCCATTCTTCTGCCAGCCAGACCAGCCACACTCCACCCCGTCCTCAGTTTGGGAGGGCTTTGGTTTTCCTGCCAGCTTGCAAGCCAATCACATCCTCCTAGACGAACCAGGAGGCACCCCATCCCATTATTATAAAGGACAGCCCACAGCTTTTGCTGGTTCACTCTGTTGCTGACTGCAACCCCGAGTGGCCCCATGTGGTGAGCGGGGTCCTCCTTCCCCCCCAAGCCGTGAGTCCATGTGACTAATTAACTGCTGTCCATCTTACCCGGCCGGCACTGGGTGTCATACTATTGAGAGCGGGGGTCCTTACCACACCATCGCGTGCCAACAAGTCAATGAGCCCAGCTTTGCTCAACATAGTGGGTTCTTGGCTGGAGGGGCGGACTGCAAACTTAACGAAAAACCTTGCAGTGGGCAGAGCTTTGTGGATTTTGGAACTGCAGGCGAGGGATCGAGGAGCTGTATTATTGCAGAACCGTGAGCAAGACTTTCCTCAGCAGGCAAGGGACCATCAGGGGAAATGAGTAGGAGAGAGGAGCACGGGGCCAGACCAGGGGCTCCCCACGGGCCTTACGAAGACGTGTGAGTGCCAGAATTTGAAGCAATTCTTGGTCACTGGAGCTAAGCGGGTGTGGGTGTAATGGGGTATGGGTGTGGGTAAGTGGGTGTAATGGTTCTTTGTCATTTGGGGGAGTTGCCCAGCATCCAAACTATCCCTGTACTGGAGGAGGAAGCTTCCATTTGAGGAGTCCTGGTGGGAGGCGGAGAGCTGCTGACTAGCTCCCCAGATCACTCTGAAGTGAGGGCACGGGCACGTTTTGGTCACTCTGGGGCCCAGGGTGTGTGTGTTCCTCCGGGCTCGAAGAGAGTGAAGCTACTAAATCAGTGCAGGTTGCAATAGTTCAGAGAGCTGGAAAAGCACCGCAAAGAGCCCCATCTGGTCTCAGGCCTTCGAGATAAGGCTGCAAGCTGACCACAGAGATACCGATCTGTTCCCCCGCACCCGGCACTGGGCCTGGTGCTTCGTTCTTTTCTTCAACCAGTATTTACTGGGCACCTACTATGTGCCAGAGGATGCTCTTAATTCTGGAGACCACAGCGAGCAGGTCTGAGGAGGTCTCTGACCTCACAGAGCTTGCTGCCTAGCGGGGAAATGTTATTTTACAACAAAGAAATAAACTAACGTCAGGTAGGGATAGGAGTTAGAAACATAATAAAACACAATGAAATGACAGTGAGGGATGGGCACTAATTTAATCGGGCTGGTGGGGTAGCCAGGCTCCAACACTCGCCCCCCCCCCCCCGCCCTGGCAAAGACACCCTGTGTGTGGCCCCTCCCACATGACACCAACAACCCTGTAAGTATACACCAGTGTATACTGGGTACAACGTATACATGTATATCAC